ACCAAGAGGGAACGCTTCCCCATCCGTTATGAGAACAGCTTCCAAGTGAGGACTCTGTGCCTGTACATAGCATGCCGTTTAGCCATATCTTGCCCGTCCCTCGTCCCCAATCTGAAGGTCCTACAGCTTTGGTAAAACCAAGTTGACGGCAAGCAACCTTGGCATCGGGCATATCCCAGCCATGATAACATACTGTTCCCCATTGACCCTGGTAATCTACCTCATCGAACTATAGACGTATCCAACACTATATACCATAATACTCTCTTGATGAAAGGCGTCCCCATTCCAAGGATGTATATTGGTCAGTTTTAGTATTCTACAAGACCGAAAAGCTATTGCCCTGAATAGTTATTGCTGCTCCCCTTCCAAGGTTAAAGGTCAAAGGCGTTGCACAAAATTTACAGTCGCTGACATTTGAAGATAAGGAAAGACTACGTGAACTTTCTTTGAAAAGGGACAAGAATAAGGAAGACACGGGTAATTTGCCTCACGTGACATATGTATAGTTGCTGCACCAATTTCATTGCCAGCTTCGACTATTGCAACTGCTCACCACTGGCAGAGTATGCAACGCTGCTGGAAACAACCCGCCGGATCCGCAGAGGGTTCAGTAGTGTTATTTGGTATTGCTGCTGCACAGAATGTTGTTGCTGTAWGACATGCTATACGCAGGGAGTSATTTACCTCATTTTGTTGCTTGCGATTCTGAAAAATCTTCTGGTGAAGAACAATGTGAGGGCGAATAATATAGAAAGATTGCTTGATATCTTGATCCATACAAGAACAAATACACACGACACCAGCATCATCATTGTGATTATTGCACCAAGAGGCAACGCTTCCCCATCCATTATGGCTACAGCTTCCAAGTGAGGACTCTGAGCCTGAACAACCCATGCCGTTCAACCATACTTTACCCGTCCCATGTCCATTCCACCAAGGTCCTAGAGTTTTGGTAAAACCAAGTTGACGGCATGCAACCTTGGCATCATTCATGCCCCAGCTACCAGCACACACTGTTCCCCATTGACCCTGATGACCTCTACGAGATAAACCTTTTCAAGGTGTTTTTACAAAAACATTTTTTACATTTCTTATACTCCATTCACGCCAAAATAGGTTTAGTTAAATTAGTTTTTTCTAAATTTTATAATATGCATCATTTAACATCAATGGAATAAAAATAACTTAAACTTATGTTATTCAAAATACAAACAGTTATGAGTTTAATAATTTTCTAAACCTGTGTAGTTGAACAACTTTAAACCACGTTTTTACAGTTGGTGTGAACGGGGCATTATATCAAATACTTCATAAAAGAAATATCGTTTTCAGCAATTCTATTTTTAAATTCTAAACCCCAAAACAGAACAAACCAAAATATAAAAGCATTTCTCCAGATTACGGGGTGTGAAGCTCTTCTATAAACAACTCAAAAATCTTTGAATTCAGTATAAAACCACCGCATTTGATAGGCAGAGTATTTCGCGACACTTTAATTTCGCGATTTCATAAAATGAGTTATTAATTACCAGGAATAATTCAAACCCACAGTTTCCTTGAACAAAACGACTTTACTGATTAAGTAACAGTAACAACAACAACAACGAGAAAAAGTTCATGTTTTTTTAATTAAATTCAATATTTATTTCAATGTGCATCAAGGGTGATCACTTAATTTTCGCGTCATTATATATTCGCGGTACTTAYTTTTCGCGTCAATTTAATTTCGCGATTTTTTGAAAGYCGTGAAAATCGCGAAATAATTGTAGCGAAAATTTGATGTAATAATGTACTTTTTAAATCATGCTTACAAAAGAGTGTGAGATAAAGGATCACAGCGGTATTTTGCTAAAATAGTGCTTTGCGTATATTTACCAATGAGGGTATAGACTATTGATAATTTGAAAAACACACAACACCAGCATCATTAGTGTGATCGCAGCCAGAAGAAACCTGTCCCCATCCATTGTGAGAACAACTTCCAAGTGAGGTCTCTGAGCCTGAACACTGCATGCTATACAACCATATTCTACCCGTCCCATGTCCATAGTACATAGGTCCTWGGGTTTTAGAAAAACCAAGTTGACGACATGCAACCTTGGCATCATTCGTGCCCCAGGTACCATGACACACTGTTCCCCATCGACCCTGSTAATACACCTTTACAAAACCTATATGAATRGCACTTGCTTAGCTCTTCTAGTTCATTTGAGATTTTCAAACTTCTTAGTTTGAAGAATATTACTTTAGTAAAGTTCCAATGAGAACATTCGCTAACACAAAGAATATCAATTTAGTGTAGGTCGAATTAAGCCTTATTGGAACCTTTGAATCTAATTTATAGATATCACAAAAAAAGAAATTTCTTGCGTTTTTATAAACAATTACTCCATACGCGTGCAAAGTCTGAGGTCTTTACTTTAGTTACTCCCTGAAATTAAAAGGATACGTTTATAATTTATTAACTAGCTTGCAGATACGTTTACCAATGAATGCACAAGATGTGTTAGAAAATGATAGTAGATTAAAGAAAGTTCTAATTTATGTAAACTATTGTCCATCTACGTCCATTGTTGTGTTTTTCTTTATTCTTATATAATTTCGGATATTACAATATTACAATTTCGGATTTTTCATGACGCAGTTCATTATGAAATTTGGCGAGCATTTTATACTGATACTATTTGCTAGATGTAAAGCTAGATTACATTTGCTATTCGAAACAATACTCAATAAAAAAACAAAACAAAACAAAAACAAAAACAACAACAACAAAAAACAAAACAAAACAAAAACAAAAACAACAACAACAAAAAAACAACCAAACAAAAAAACAGAACTTCTTCTTTTGCAGTGATGTTTCTCAGATTTTTGCTTTACACGCCCTGTTTATACATCCCGCTGCAGAAAATCCGTCATGGATGGGAAAGAGYTAGTGCAAGGAAGACCGGAGAAGAGTGCGAAAAGATGCAAGTTTTGAAATCTTGGCGATTTATTTGTTTTAGTTGTCGCGAGATTTATAGCAGCTGTTTGATAAATCCTTTTAACCTGTAGTCCAGTGTGAAGTTCAGAATCACGTGGTTTTTTCACAGTTCACCCAWTATCACAAATATTAGTTCAAAAATGTCGTGCAATACTTACAGCCAAACATTCAGATACAGGAAATAATAAAAATAGCCAGAGCAAAAACAGCAGCATCGTATTTTCGGAATACTGCGACAGGGAATGCGAGGTAAGACCTCCACACCCAATGTGGGGGCAGCTCTGACGTGAAGATTCTAACCGATCCTTATCCATACATTTAGACCGTAGGTTCTGCTACAGCATTTATACAAGAACTGTCAAGCAATGAGATACATTAGACACTAATACAATAACAAATAGACGACACCAGCATCATATTGGTGAATATTGCAGCCAGAATCAACGTTTCCCCATCCGTTGTGAGGACAGTTTCCGAGTGTGGATTCTGAGCCTGTATATGCCATGTAATCTAGCCATACTTTACCCGTTCCTCGTCCATAAATCGAAGGTCCTAAAGCTTTGGTAAAACCAAGTTGACGGCATGCAACCTTAGCATCAGGCATATTCCAGTAATGATGACACACTGTTCTCTATTAAACATTTCATAAGTGATTCTTAAAAGTTATATTCCTTTATTACGACCATACTATTATACTATTTATTTTGTCTGAATATCTTAGTTTATAACGTGCATATGAAAACGAGCCATTTTCTTAAATATTATAGTAGACTTTTAAGTAAAAAAACCGGTCGACCTATTTTCTAACAAGGCTTAGCATATTTTGCGAACTGAGCAATACCAAACGTTAATAAAACAAAAATAAAAGTGCGCACAACACCAGCATCATCGTCAACGTGATCGCACCAAGATGCAACATTTCCCCATCCATCGTGAGTACAGCTTTCAAGTGAGTACTCTGAGCCTATACACTGCATGTACTGCAGCCATACTTTACCCGTCCCTCGTCYARGACGCCAATATGCTACAGTTTTGGTAAAACCAAGTTGACGACATGCGACCTTCGCATCGGGCATTTCCCATATTAATATCAGAATTTTCAGCTTTTCATATKTATTAATTAATTTGTTTTCTATTTATTAATTTACATTTTAGGGTTGGGTTTTATCCCTATATTTTCATATTTTTTACGTACTGTAGATAGGAGGTCCACATTAGCTCTTAGCTGCCAGTTTTTTTCTCCTGACCTTATGTTTCCAAATATAAAGTATGCATGTATGTATGTATCGAAACTAACGACACCAACATCAACAGTGTGATCGCAGGCACCAACATTGCCCCATTGCCAGCTTTCAAGTGTAGTTTCAGAGCCTAAACACAACATGCCGGTCAGCCATACTTTACCCGTCCCTCGTCCATAGTGCCAATATCCTACAGGTTTGGTAAAACCAAGTTGACGGCATGCGACCTTTGCATCATTTTCACCCCAGCCATGATGACATACTGTTCCCCATTGACCCTGGTGATACACCTCTAACTACACTTAGCAGTATGTACTAACAAACACCGATAAGCATAACATACTGAAATAATAATTTAAACAAAATACACGACACCAGCATCATATTGGTGAGTATTGCAGCCAGAGTCAACGTTTCCCCATCCATTGTGAGGACAGYTTCCAAGTGAGGTCTCTGAGCCTGAACATCTCATGCCGTACAGCCATATCTTACCCGTCCCTCGTCCAAACCACCAATAAGCTACAGTTTTRGTAAAATTAAGTTGTCGACATGCAACCTTTGCATCATTTATATCCCAAGCATACYCATTATAATAACATACAGTACCCCACTGACCACTGTAGATGTTTTTAAAAGATTACAATACGCAGCATGACAATAGCATCATATTTGTGGCTATGACAGTGAGAGTTAACGTTTCCCCATCCATTGTGAGAACAGTTTCCAAGTGAAAACTCTGAGCCTGTACACAGCATCCAATACAGCCATATTCTACCCATCCCTTGTACATAGCGCCAAGTTCCTACAGCTTTGGCAAACCCAAGCTGCCGACAAGCAACTTTGACTTCTTCGTTGATATCCCAGCTAGCACCATAAACACACACTGTTCCCCATTGACCCTGATAATATACTTCCACAAGACCTATATGGATATTCCTAGCTTAGGTCTTTTAATTCATTTGATATTTTCAAACYTCTTAGTTTAAAGAATATTAAATAAAATTCCAATGAAAACATTCGCTAACAGAACGTCATATTTTATCAATCAATTTCTAATTGTAGGAATCTAAACTACGAAACAGGACAAACGAAAATTTAAAAAAAAATTACTAAATATGTCACGTGCATTCTTGGTACCTGATAATTTTGAAATAATGAAACGTAACTTTATGGTAAAGTTCTCCGTTGCCTCTGTTAGTTAGAACTTGGCTGTTCCGTGCACTGAAAATTGATTCTAACTATTTCTTTTGATGCCATCTTACTTCATTTCTTAACAATTCAATTAATAACATGCACTGTCTTTTGATCACTACTAATCCTTAAGGTGCATAAAATACGAAAACAAAAAGAAAACATACAACACCATCCAGCATYTCATCCGTGACGGTTGCAACTTGAGTCAACATTCGCGACATTCAACCCTGAATACCTCCCTGTAACAAATATGTAAGAGTTAATTACCGAGAGYGGAGGCAATAAGCCATATAYATGTATAGGCTTATTGCCGAYGTTCGAGGTAATTAAGTATTTTATTTATCAATTGAGAAGGTTTCCTATCAAATGTTGCTSATTATAAATGCGAAGTYTATAYATAGTTAACCGGGTTATATATTGACCTCGCATCTATAATGAGGGTTATGATAAAAATAAAGCCTTGTGAATAACAAACAAAACCGTGTCAATTGAGAAATAAGCCAGGAWTCAACTAGGACCAGAGTAATAATAATACGAAAATGCACACTACACCAACATCCCACGTGTGACCGTTGCACAGAGAGTCAACACTTCCCCATCCATTGTGACTAAAGCCAACTTAAGCCAACGTTTCCCCATGCACTATGGGTACAGCTTCCAAGTGAGRCCTCTGAGCCTGAACATCCCATGTTGTAGAGCCATACTTTACCTGTTCCTCGTCCATAGTACGAACGTCCTACAGTTTTGGTAAAACCAAGTTGACGACATGCAACCGTGGCATCATCCATTTCCCAGTTACCACGACACACTGTTCCCCATTGACCCTGGTAGTACACCTCCTTGATAACTAGCAGTATCTACTGAATACCGTGTAACATGACATTTTAAGGTGACTTTAAAATAATAAAGTTAAGAAAGTACATGACACCAGCATCATATTGGCGAGAAGGGCAGTTAGAGCCAGTGTTACTTCATCCATGACAGCCGCCCAGTGATGACTYTGAACCCGTACATGCCGTGGAATCCAGCCATACTTTACCCCAACCTCAACCATCCCAGAGAAATCCCACAGCTTTTGTGAGACCTAATTGGCGACATGCAGCCTTTGCTTCCTGGAGCCACGTACCTGCCATCAGCACACAGTCACTGTTCCCTATTGTCCCTCTGGTTATACTTTTCAACGAGACCTGTATCGATAACCATCATATTTTAATTCGTTTTTAACAATTTGGTCTATGAAATTAGGTTAATTAAACGTCTTAGATCGAAGAGGATWAAATAGAATTTTTGATTTTGATTGGATTACTAAACCATCTAAAGAAGAGGACAAATAGCAATTTTAAAATCTTATTTCTTTTTCGGATTTTGTCGCATGAATTGCTTTCTATAAATAACTTACAGCTATAAATGTACAAGCAACGAAATTGTTTTTGATGGGCAGGTTATCTAAAGTCAAAACCATTTGTTGTTGCTGATGATGAAAAACATCTAGTTTTCAAACAATATAGTAATCGCTTCTTGCTKCAGTAGTGCTATTGCAACACTTGTTAAAATATGCATTTGCACCACAACGAAAGCACCTGACACCAGCATCATATATGTGGCTATTGCAGCCAGGGTAAACCTGTACAACTTCCAAGTGAAACCTCTGATCCTGTACACTGCATTTTGTACAGCCATCTACCCATTCCTCGTCCCCATTTCCAAACTCCTATAGTTTTGGCAAATCCAAGTTGACGRCAGGTAACCTTGGCATCATTCATACGCCACTCAGCACCAGCATCATGGCACACTGTTCCAACGCTGGACGGCGTTATATTTCCACAAGAATCGTATGGATAAAACTAGTTTACTTTTTGCAGTTATTCATTTGAGATTTTTTACCATCTTAATTGGAAGAGCATTAACAAAGTTCGATATTCGGTCCCAGAAATATTTGAATAATTAATGTATAATTTTTCATTGGCAGGATAATTTGTTTTGCCGCTAWAAAAACATCATCGTAGTTTCAAAACATCGTAACCGTAACCTATTGCGAAATCGGYATCGTTATAACATGCGTTTGCACTAAGTTGGTGGAAAATACAGCGCCATCGCATAGCATATGAAACACAAACCTCCCCAATTATAACTTATTTGTACCTTACAAGACATCATTTGCGAATTCTTACACAGCCTTGATCAAATATATGATAATATTTATATTTTCAAATGATAAAGTACCTCCTTCTTTATATGATATGTTATGTAAAGCTATACACCGAATGCAATAATGACCAATATTTTAATTAAACTCTAAATTAAAATTATGGATTAAGATTACACAAACAAAATATGGGTGTTTAAGGTAAAAATGTCAATTTTTTTACGAGTTATTCAAAAGAGTGAAAAACACCGACCGAGGCTAGTCAGTYAATTGATTGAAAACATAAAAWATCTCTGAAATTCTGATTCCRAATAACTTCACTGGAAATATATGTATAGAAATAAACAGAATTTTCTGCTTTTTCTGGCTTTTTCTGACAGTGGTCCCTCGTCCCCAGTACCAAGGTCCTAGAGTTYTAGTAAAACCAAGTTGACGACATGCAACCTTGGCATCGTCCATATCCCAGCTACCATAATGACACACTGTTCCCCATTGACCCTGGTAAAATACCTCCACAGGACCTATATGGATAGCACTAGCTTAGCTGTTCTAGTTCATTTGAGGTTTTCAAACTTCTTAGTTTGAAGAATATCAAATAAAATTTTAATAAGAACACTTGATAATCAACCTGCAATCGTATTAGTATAAACCGCRAAACAGAACAAACGAGAAATTTTGAAAAATCATTTCCTAAATATGTCAAGTCAATTCTTGGATCCTGATAATTTTCTATAATCAAAAACAACTATCATATTTCTTYTATTGTCTCTCAGTTAAAACTTGGCAGTTCCGCGAAATGAATATTGATTTATTCCCCAGACCAATATTTGAATAAAATAAATACAGCACACTCATTGGCCACAATTTTGTTATATTTAGATACGATGAATATAAAGCGCGCACGCGCACGCTCGTATAAAAATTAATCAATCAATCAATCAATTAATAAATACATAGAAAAAAAAACTTTCTCTCCGTTTTTTATTAAATTCACTTGTGTTAAAATACAAAACAATGAATGTTATAGCTTAATTTTCTTAATTATTGTAAAATATACCAATTGAGCTTTAGTAGGCTGCTATCCATCTTTCTTTCTTTCTTTCTACCTATCTATCTAATCCTAAACATCTCCTTTCATGCCATCTTGCTTCATTTCTTAATTTGTGAAATAAAACGTCTATATTAAAGAAAATAATACACCACCATGATACAGCAGTATTCGCTATCAAATGACGAGAAGCATATCACACTGAAACAATAATATAACAAAGTACACGACACCAGCATCATATTGGTGAGTATTGCAACTAGAGCCAACGTTTCCCCATGCACTGTGAGAACAGCTTCCAAGTGAGGACTCTGAGCCTGTACATCCCATGTCGTTAAGCCATACTTTACCAGTCCCTTGTCCATAGTCCCAAAATCCTACAGTTTTAGTAAAACCAAGTTGTCGGCATGCGACCTTGGCATCATTAATATCAAAGTTACTATGACATACTGTTCCCTCATGTCAGTAACTATGAAATACTGTGGACATACAACCTTGACAAATGTTAGCCATTATAACAAAGAGTATCAATTTACTACGGTTTAGGTCAAATGAAGGCTTCTAGAAATCTTTGATACTAATTTATTGATAATACAAAAAAGTTCTATTGCGTTTAAAATAAACCTGTGCATGTGCAGAATCGAAAGTATTTACTTCAGTCATTACAGTGCGACGCGCCTAACTATGATCACCTATTTTATGCTTTTAGTAGTAAGCCAATCACACAACGAGAATTAAAATTATTTCATTAAAACTTTAACGAATGGCTAGGAATTTGCCTAGGTGATGAACCCCTTGCTGGTTACACTTTTGTAAAAAGTCTTTTAATTGATAGACACACTTGGCGGGAAAGGATTCAACGACATTGGTAAAACAACTTTGAGAGCCTCGAAAACAGTAGTGGTAAGAACTTTGAAGCGTATCCTTGCCTTTATAGGGAGCCAGTTCAGAGAGTTAAGTACTGGAGATATGTGGGCATCATGACGAGTTTTTGTTACTATGCGAGCGGCAGTATTTAACACTTTTTGGAGCTTTTGTTTTTCATAAGCAGGCAGTCTAAACAAGAGCGAGTTGCATCGGTCGTGGAAAGAAGTAAAGAAGACGTGGACCAGAGACTCRGCAGTTTTTTGGTCAAGACGTTTGCGAATCTTTCCAATGTCACTTAAAGCAAAGAATGCTGRACGGCAAATACTATTAATGTGTTCATTCAATGATAAATGCTTGCCAATTATAACACCCAGATCGTAAGCTTCAGGGTTTGGGGCCAAACACAGTTTCCCAAATGAGACAGTAGGAGATGACATAGGAACTAGCCTGTTGAAACCAAATGGACTATTTCTGATTTTCCCGATTATTAAGTACCAGCTTGTTAGGGAAGGRCCACTCCCTGATATCACGAATGCAAGGCTTAGGGCGATATAATGAGGCTGCCTTATCCGGTTCCATCAAGATGATGTAGATCTGTGTGTTGCCTGCGTAGACCATGGTATCTTCCATTTGGGAGATATAAAATGAGAACAATAGAGGGCCAAGTACACAGCCTGTGAGAAAAATAGAGGGCCATGTACAGAACCTATGGTACACCATGTGTGGTCATCACTTCAGACGAGTCTTGTTGAACGCTGGCATAATGGATACGCTGGGAGAATTTGAATTTGATCCATTTTATTATTGTACCAGATGCTCCAAAACGTTGTTAAAGTCTCCTGAAAAGTATTGTGATCAGTTAAGTCGAAATCCGCCGAGAAATCCAGAAGTACAAGTAAAGATTCGTGACCATTGTCGAGAGCAATGAGGAGACCGTTCTGAGCTTTCAAAAGAGCGGATTCCGTGCCGTGCTTCTTCCAATACGCTGACTGATGGTTTGGGTATAGATTATTCAAAGCAAGATGGTTATGTAATTGTGTGACGAGAACCCTCTCAAACCCTTTAGAGAGAAATGATAAATTAGATATAGGCCTGTAAYTATGTAAGTACATCTGGATCAAGTGTAGCATGCCTGTGTTGCATGGGATCTCCATTTTAAATGTGAAATTGATAGGTTAGAACGAATTCAAAGATCAGCTGCAAGAYTCTGAACAAATGGCTATAATTGGTCCTCCAGTGTCACGTCTATCTTAACCAACTTGATCYAGATACTCTTGAAAAGAGAAGAAAAAGATCCCGACTGACTTTCATGTATAAGATCATCCACAATCAAATAGACATTAATATCAATAATTATTTAAATTTTAATAAAGAGACTCGTACAAGGAACAGTCATAAATATAAACTAATTGAGCCTTTCTGCAAGAAAGATGTATTCAGATTTTCTTTTTTCCCTAGAACTGCCAGAGAATGGAACAAACGTTCCCCAGAAATTGTTTCTGCATGCAGCTTAGATAAATAGTATAAAGGCAGTCTCATTTAATCTCTCTTATCTTATTGTAAATATAATTTATATATTGATTAATTCATTTTATTTATTTATTTAATTCAATTTCTTAATCAGTAGTTACGATTTAATTTCATATTTTTTTACCTCACTCACATGTATATCTATTACTGCGATTCCCAGTCACGCGCGACCAAGTGAGACCAAAATCACAAACGGAAAATTAAATTTTGGTGGACGTCAATCAAAAGGGTTTCTTAAACATGTCTCAGGATTCCGATTCCGAATTTCAAACGTTTAAGTGCAAACTATCAGTATTGACTTATCCTATCTTGAAGAAACTCAAATCATAGCCATAGCAATAGCTTTGCAATCAAGCGTTAAGATTCGGAGCCGGAATCCTGCGACATTTTTGAGAAAATATATCCAGAGTGAGAAATTCACAGCGACTAGAAGCATGACAACGATTTTTGCACATTTGCACGTGTTCACGTGAGTATTCACATCAGTCCTGGTGTAGAAACGAATAGAAACGATAGAAACCCTTTTGATCGACGTCCACACAAATTCAATTTTTCGTTTGTGACTGGGAATCGCAGTAATTATCTTTTATATTTTGAAATTTTTTTGTAACAGTTGATTTGATACCTACAGGGTTTTTATCGACTTAATGAAGAAGAAGAAGATGATGATGTAGGCTTCTTAATGTGTGACACAACTAGTTTTGAACACAGATGGAAATCCACCAGATGACAGGCTTGTGTTGATCGTTCGTGTAACTGAAACAAGAAGCTCATGACATTCCTTCAATATAATTGTAGGTCCAGGGTACATGATTTGGTTGGAGAGTTCTTGATTACAGATTCAACCTGATCCAGTGTCATCTGATCGAAGGATGCCAAACTAGCAGGACAAGACAGGTCAGTCAGCTCGACAGACAAACTTACTGTTACCCGTTGACTCTAGCTAGTAATACAACTCAATGATACCTAGCATTATTCACTATTAAWTACCGAGAAGCATATCACACWGAAACAATAATCTAGCATGAACACCAGCATCATATTGGTGACTGTCGCAGGAAGAGCCATGGCCTCCCCATCCATYGTGAGAGCAACTCTGAAGTGAGGACTCTGATYCTGTACAATCCATGTAATTCAGCCATACTTTACCCGTCCCWYGTCCATAGCGCCAATATCCTACAGTTTTGGTAAAACCAAGTTGHCGACATGCAACCTTGGCTTCCTCCATGTACCAGCCATCATGACACACTGTTCCCCATTGAYCCTSGTAATAAACCTCGAAGAGACATACATGGAGAACCCTATCTTAGTTCTTGTCATCAAGTCAGTACCTATTTTGAGTTTCAATAATTTTATAGTTTGTTTTGTATGCTCTTTATTAGTTCACAGCAGTTTTCGTAATATTCTTCCCTGATATAGTTTTAAAAGTCTTTTAAAGTCTTTAAAGTCTTGAAAATGGTATGAATTTTTTTAAAAATTTTTATTGATAAGTTAATTTTAAAAATTTGAATAAGATCCTCATTTATTACAAGCTGGTTACTTTACTTATGTTGACCAAACCATTTCATTCGTTACTTTTCCTCACGTCAGCTCATCCTCGTGCCGGCTAACATTGTCAATTTTTTTTTTATCAGCAGTAAATTAAGTTATAAGTTTATAAGTTATAACAAGCATATTATCATATATCTTCTTTCCTATTATTGTTTTCCGCTGTTTTTGGTATGTAGCCTAGAGTAAATT